CCCAAATGTTTTCCTTTAGAAGAATGCACTGTTTTTGCCATATTTGCTAGTTTCTCTAGAACTTCAGGGCATAAAAGGGACAAGATTTGCTGTTTTTTCTTTTTTAAGTTTGAATATTGGGAGAAGAAGGAACAGGGGAAATATATACACCTACAGAAGGAAGCATCTTCTTTAACTTTCTATTTCTTTACTATTAAACTTCACTGGAGTCTGAAATCAGAGCATGGACATTTTGCTTTATATCATTTCTGTTTGTTTCAACAAAACTGTGGAGACAGCCATTCATCCCTTTCCCTTCAACAAAGGGTCCCTTTGTTATACTCTCAGGACTTTAAATTGAAGGTGAGCTAAGAATGTATAGAAGTGACCTGAAAAGGTAAGACAGCTGTGTTACACAATATGTGTAAATGTCCATTTTCACGAAATGTGTATCAGAATGACCCCAAGTGTTCTGGGGGCAGGGTGAACACCATCAGGGTCTTTCCTCTGTAAATCCCACTCCACCCCACCCCATCCCACCCCGCCCAACTCCACCCTGCCCCTTGTCCCCAGGAAAGGACCTGAAATGTTTCTGTGTACAGGTCCTCTCTCTCCCCTGGACATCTGCTTCTTGTCACTTTATTTTGGTCTGGCAATATTTCAGGATATTGCGAAAACGTCAAATCTTTAATGGAGAATACTGCTCATCTCTTCTTGGTGACAGTTGTCTAGAGATGGATATTGTTAAAAATACTCCACAGAAACTTGAGTTGGATTTAGTAAGCATTTATAAAAAGGCAGAGAAAGAGTTTTCTCTAAAAGACCTTTTGCAAGTGGAAAGCTAGGATGTTACCCAGAGGTAAAAAAGAGTGAAGACCTTCTAGTATTTGTGTAGGTGTTTAAATTACCAACTCTACATTCCCTAGAAACCAGGGCAGGTCACCTGCCCACTGCCTTGAGGCAGGTCTGTTCATAAATAACCTCAAACAGATAAGAATCTTTTTCCACAATCTTCTTGGGCAGCCGCAGAGTTTCTCATTATGTCTAAATTAAGTTCCCTTTCCCATAAATTAAGCCCATTTTCAGGTAGGTTTTATTTTTTATAACTTTGCTTTCCACTTTTTCCACTTGGTCCTGAGTACATCTCAAGTGTCAATGTTGGCAGAGATGTAGAAAAGCGAGGACCAGGTACGTACTCCCTTCCAAATAAACAACAGCTCAAGACTTTTTTTCTGATCCCCTAATCATATCCCACCATTCAGAGGCAAGAGGTACCAAAGACAGACTACTTTGGTTTTTTTCTGTGTTACTGCTTGAAGACCCTGGCCTCCTCAGCCTTGGGCTCTTGCCCTTAAAAAAGGTGGGAAAGTTCGTGTCAGGACCTTCTGATCACCTTGTAATCAGTGCAGAATGTCCTGGGGCAGGGCTGTTGGTGATGGTGATTGGAGAAGGATAACACTCTTTAACAGCCCCTTTGACACTGTCCTCTCGCTTGCTTCCAGCCCCTTCGTTCCTTCTAGACTCCTTTCCGGCTGGCTCCTCCCCTCTACCACAGCTCTGAGGAGACAGGCACTAAAATGTCAAATTATAAAGTGCACATATTATCCGATAGTGTACAGTATTATCGAGTTTGTGCATGTGGATATTAGTGTGGAGACCAGTGTGTTCCTGTTATCCCAGAAGAGAAGAAGATAAAATTTTCTTCTCCCAAATCGATAACTTCCCAATTTTGTGAGGGGAGTAGCTCTGATTTTCTAAAGCGGGTAGTTAATTATCTTAGTTTCACTCATCAATTAGCTGATAGCCCTCTGATGTCTCTTGATTGCCCCCTTTGTCAAACAAAACAAAACAAACACACGCAAAGCCAGCATAACAACTCCGGCTTATTCAAATCTTCGGGAAGAATGTGGAGGGCAGGCGATGGGGGCGGGGTGCAAATGGAGTGTGGCGCTGTTGGAATGGGAGGAAAATGGTTTGGGTTAAATATGTTGACTGAGTTTGGCAGAAGCCTCTATCTTTAGCCAGTGGGGCTTCCTTAACAAAAAAGTTTAAGATTTAGGATTAGGTGTTAATGTTAGGGTTAGATCAGATTTGAGTATTAGGAAGCCTGAGCTTTGGTTTTAGTTATACTCAAATCCATGCTGCAGGCCGTGTGATTTGCTTTTTACCAAGGGAGTGTGTTGGAGGAGTGCTTGTACCCTTTCCAAGTTCAGAGCTTATTTTCTGCGCTTTCTGAAGTCCAGTTGTTACAAGAGCTGGCAATTGATTCTTCCAAGGTGATATAATATATGGGGTAGCCATGGTCTTCCAAAGCCTGAAATGGAGTAGATACCTCAGAGGCCCTGGAAGTGCCCAAGAGTGATCTGTAGGTTTGAGGAACCACTCTTCCAAAAGAAGAAAAGTTTAAAAAAAAAAAAAAATCACCACCTGGTGCTGTGTTATAATCAATGGGACATAAAAAAATTGTAAACTCTGTACATTCAAAAATATAAATATTTTTGATATTTATCAAAATCAAATATCAAAATTTGATATTATCAAATATCAAAGCTAAAATGGAAGGTACATGAATATCAGGTGGCTAATTTGCCCCATTTCATTTGTTGATGTACAGTGTTGATTTGCATACAGATCTATTTAGGGAGACCTAAGGACTATTCTAGATTGCATTCCTCTAGTTTATAGACCTCAGGAAAGGGTGGAAACTGCTGTTTATTACTGTTTGCAGCATCAGATTGAGTTCATCATGGGTAGTGAAACAACTAATTGGAGGGTTTTTTTTAAAGAACTAAATATATTGAAAGCTCAAACATGAGTCAATAGACATTACTTAAAACATGTGACATAAATATTTTTATTGACCCACAAAGTCATAACTGAATATTTACATCATCAGCTGTCTTTTGCTAGCACTAATCCACTTTATATGTCCATTTGACTCAGTGAAGACACATTCCCACATTGCAGTTGTCATGTGGAAATTAGAGTAGCTCTGGATCTTTAACGCTTGGGATCATGATGCTTTCAGCGAAACTCAGATCACACTTTGACTTTAAAATCTCCACATTGTAGCTCCTAAAAGGAATGGCAAATAACAGTGAAAAATTAAAAATAAAAGTGTTTTAAAGGCTTAATATAGATAAATATATTACTTTAAGTATATTAGCTGTTACAATACTTGTTATTTTATATAACCTCATATCCTGTGACCTCAGAGTCCCATTAACTTGGTTGCTGGCATTCGTCCTATAATAAACTCTAAAACGTTTCTGTATTCCTGGTGGATTGAGCGGTGTAGCAGTCAGAGGACTTTGACCAACCCCCTCTTCCCCAAGATAGGGTTAAAGATTTGGGGGGATGGGGAACTCTGACAATCTTTCTGTTTAAAAATGCACACTGAGACTGTTTAACGGGTTAATCTTTCTAGTATATTTATCTCCCACAAATCGATTTTGTAAAAAATGAGGCTGGCCCGAGGTGTTAAATATGGTTGGCTGGGACCTCCTTTTATTTTTTAATTTTTTTTTTGGAGGAGCCTAGGACCAGGTGGAAAAGATTTGTTACAAATTCCAGGGAAGAACTGTTCCCGTAGTGGTGGTTAAATGGTTGCCAGTGTTCACACTTCAGTGCTTGTAGACCAGAAGACTGGAAACAAAAGGGTTACTTGTTTCCCCACCACCGCCTTTACCCCCGGATCGATTTTTCTTATTTAATCAGGGAGTAAAAAGAGACACAACAGGGGTTAAAAAAAAAAAAAAAAAAAAGTTGGAAGAAGGGCAAAGTGGTGGGGGAGGGTTGAAAGCCAGAAGCTGCAGGACAGAAAATCAGTCTTGGGAGTTCGCGCTGCCGAGTCCTTGCAACAAGGAAGGGAAGCCAGCAAAAACCGCTCTCAGTCATTTCCACACAGCCAGCCTCCCCTTTTCTCCTCGCTACGCGCTAGTGGCTCATTTGGCTTCCCTCTGCCACCGAGCGATCACATACATTATTTCCCCCAAGATAACACAATCAAACTTGTATTTACCGACATCCTTTCCTCGCAGCCTGTTTGAGATTTGTTTTAATAAATAAGTGTTTTATGTGAATGATGTAGTCATTGAAACGGGCGCACCATTTTTCCCCCCCTTCCTTACTGCAGGAGGTTCCTCAACCCCAATCTGGTTGGAAAATAAAACGCTTTGTCTCCACAACCACCCCCCACCGCACCCCCACCCGCTCTCAGTGTGTGTTTTATACGTGTGTATATCTCAACCCCCTACAGTAGCCAAGAGAAAGCAGCTAGCCAATGAGAGAGCCCAGTTTCATAAAAGCTGCTCTCTGATTGGCCCGATGCGAAAGGGCAATGGGAACAAAGAAAAGTCCCTTTCAGGTATAGAGGCTGAGAGCTCCTTTTGCTTCCACTCCCCCTGTGTGTGTGTTGTGTTTCAGTCCTGATTTCAGTGTTGCAGAACAAGCTTGTGGTGTGTGTGCACCAGGGGGATTTTTCTTTTCTTTTCTTTTTTTTAATTTTAATTTTTGCTTTTATAAAAAATACACAGGACGGTCTGTGACATTTGATGGTCCATCTTCTTTAATAATAAATTTGTTGAAGAGATTATAATTTCCAAAATAAAGCGGCTGCAACCAAACACATTCAATGCAGTTAGAAGGAAAAGGTCAACTCGATCCAATACAGACCGTAAGTACGGTTGCGTGGTGTGTCTCTATAGCACTTAGCGGGGACTTCATGCAGGGGAATGTGCGAGTTTTATGCATTAAAATGAGGAACTAGTTACAGGGTTTGGCTTTTGCATTGAGAACAACAACCCAAGAAGGGTGAATTTTATTCAGTGGAGGGTGAAGCATTTGTAACTTCTTCACACAAATTAAGCTTGACTGGGCACTCGGGGTAACTTAGAGTAAATTACCTTTTGGGCTGTAACCCAAGGAGAATAAAAGTGACACAGTTACATATACTGATCTGCAGTGTCCATTCCCTAGCTCACCTCGCCCCCTCCCTCTCCTATCCTAGCTGGGCAAGACCCTCTTCCAAACCGAGCCAGGAAAATGGGGGCAAGGGCAGAACAAGCCGATTTCTGTCTCTTGCCACATCCTAGTGCCCAATAATTTAATATTAAACAAGGGAATAGTCACCCATTACATGTAATGGTTATAATTACCATTTTCCACCTCCTTAAAAAAGCAAAGCAGCAAAAACACCATTAAGGGGGGGGAAGCCCCACCCAACCCAAACCCACAAATAGAGTAACAATGGTGTGTTTATTACAGGACCTGGCTTGGGAGCTAGCAAAATGTTTTTCTTTGTTTAAGACATGAGGGGGTCCCTAAAACCCAAGTAGCTTGGAGGTGCCCTCCCCCTCTTCTGGGCGTCCCCATCCCTGGCCCCTCGGGAAAGCCGACAAATTGGAGATAAGTTGAGGAAAGGTTTATAAGGTGTTTCTTTAAAACATCTGCTTTGCTCTTGTGCTCATTACATTTCACTCCTTCGAACTTCCAAGAGCCTAGATCTGCGAGAAATGTTTCACATTCATAACTTGTAGCTGCGCCCACTGCTGGGGGGTGGGGGCGCGGGG